CATCAACGATTCCCCCCTCCCCGGTTATAAATTAGCTGTTTTGTTTGATAATCAAATCCCTGCGATTCAGCCTTGGTCTCTCTCTCTCTCTCTCTCTCTCTAACACACACGCACACACCCACTATTACGCACACACACGCGCGCGCAGATGCTTTACGCTATTTCTGATGGAGAAAATTGCCAAAGTGAATTGATAGGCTATCTGATTTTTACGATTAGGCTACAACTATTGCACACACACACACACACACACACACACACACCACACGCGCGAGCGCATGCTTGCCCATATACAAACACACGCACACACACACATATAAAAAAACTACAAGTGCACATGGACACACGCGCGCGCGCACACGCACACACACAGTCAAGGCGGTGCATTAGAAAACTCCAAAGTCATCCAGTTTGCTCTAATCATTACAATTAGTCGTGAATTATCACCGGACTCTGACAGACGTTCCTTGTAACTCTCTTTTATTTCCACCCCGCGCTAATCAGCGGCTCTCATTACAAACGCTGATTAAACTGCAAATTACCCAGCAGCGGCCCCGTCCGCGCCTACCAGCGCCTCGCTCAATATCAATTAAGTGGAGCAGCCCGTCTGTAGTCTCACGGCGCTTCCAAATGCTTGATAGTGCCACTTATTAGTTTGGAAAACTCGGAAAATACCAATAATCAACGGCCATGAAGCTGCAGGGGGAAAGAGCCCAGGGTTTTCCCGCCTCTCAGATGCAATCACACGAGCTGTGCCTACAGGATTTCTCTGCTGCTGCTGCTGCTGCTCCCATCATGCATGCAGGCCCCGGAAACCTCCATCATGCTTTATTCATGTCTGCTGCTGCACAGAAAAATATATTGGACAAGCTCATATCTTCAACGTTGGAGTAATATATATAAATATATAATATATATATATATATATATTAATAATGACTTGCATTAATGCGTAGCAAATCTGAAATCTAACATCANCGGCCATGAAGCTGCAGGGGGAAAGAGCCCAGGGTTTCCCCGCCTCTCAGATGCAATCACACGAGCTGTGCCTACAGGATTTCTCTGCTGCTGCTGCTGCTGCTGCTGCTCCCATCATGCATGCAGGCCCCGGAAACCTCCATCATGCTTTATTCATGTCTGCTGCTGCACAGAAAAATATATTGGACAAGCTCATATCTTCAACGTTGGAGTAATATATATAAATATATAATATATATATATATATATATTAATAATGACTTGCATTAATGCGTAGCAAATCTGAAATCTAACATCATTAGATTGTTCCGGCTGCAGATAGAATGAACTGGTTTCTACCCTCTTATGTTAACCTATTTAGTCTTGGTATAATATAAATTAATAGCAACTCATTTAAATTATTAAAAGGGAATCCTGCTCCTGCGTGTTTCTATAATAAAATGGCTGTCAGTGCTCAGCAGGAGAAGGATCAGCTGATACACAAAAGAAATATTTATATTTAAATTTAAAAATGAAAAGTATTGTCAGCAAAATGCATTTAAAATAAAAGTATTCAATGAGAAGAAAATGGGGTTATATTATCATAAAGTGGATTATTACTGGATTGTTCTGATGCATTTGCATAATGTTTAAAATGCATTTTAATGTTATAGCTGATGGAGGTCATTTTAACTTCGGTACATATAGTTTAACAATGATTAGCATTTTATGAGCTCATCACTGGCTTGTGTACAAATGCAAAGTACCTTAATCAGTGGATGGTTTTAGTTTATTAACAGTTGCATTTAGTTTATTTTGAGTGTGTACAAGAATGTGGCTTGTAGACATGTAGTTAACTGGAGGGTTAAACTGGCTCCAATTTTAATATTAAGCAAGTTGCTTATCAACCCGTTTTACTATGGAAATGAATGGAAATAACAGACAGGCAATAGTGTATGTGGTCAGCATTAATGTAAAGTTCACAATATGGACTCTTAAAACTCTCTCTATAGAGCTTGAAAACACTCATATTCTGTAAATTTGATTATTTTAACCCAGCAAAAATATTATTATTCATATGATTGGGTTGCTTTTACAAACCAGCACACCAGCTCAAATAAGTAAGGGTTGGGTTTGTCCATGTTTGACCCAGCTCCGAGTTGCACAAACTGCCTCAAGTTCAACATTTTTATTCAACTACCTCCTCAAAGTGTCACTTAACTACAGCATGTTACATTCCTCCATTCTCCTACAAATGGAGCGTAAAAAACATCTTTAATGTCTTACTTTGATAAATGTGCCAATAATTTACTTCTCCGTGTCAGTATACCTCCAACAATCCTACAGAGTTTGATATATATTTCTAATTTATTGTGGATTGAAAGATGTAATATTTGAAGACTCTCCTTCTATTTGCAGGTTTTAATGATGTCATGTCTAAATGAAATCAGATGTTCTGGTGGTGGAATAATCAATGTATGCACATTAACTACCGTATATGTCTTCCTGTGTGAGAGCAAAACTCAGATATTCGCAAGAGATTTATCAAATGTATATTTCTACTTTTACTTAATTTGAGACTTGACATGAAAAACATGATTAAACCACTGACAGTGATATTGTATTGAAAATGAAAATGAAAATCATATCACAAGAAAGCTCCATACAGTCTGGTGACTGCTCTTAATGCCACTTGACCCCCCTCTTAAAACAAACTGTATTTATGGTCATATTTGTTTTTTCACCTTCCCTTTCTCATTTGCCAGTTTCTATCCTCTGATTATAAATTGTGAAAACACCTTTAGATTGGATTTTTTTTTATTTTTATTTTTTTATTACATCCTTCAGTCTGACAGCGACAACATAAGATATTTTTCATTTTGACAGATGACAAAACATGACAGCATGAGTACCACCAGTCAAGAATAGAATCAATTACACGACTAAATACAATGATGAGGACGTGTTTAACACAATTTCTTTTTCATGGAGAGAATTTGGAGGATGTAGTGTTTTGAATGATGCAGGAACTGATTTCACTGCATTGAGAATATGTGTAAATTTCCTCCCTCTGTTACACACTTGACAACTGCTCTGCTCCTCAGTCTTAGGTTTCGTTCTCATGATCAGTTGTGATGAGCAATTAAGACCTTTAAGTTGTGTTTTTAACATAGTGTGTATATCTATCTAGAAATGTAGTTGAGTAAACTATAAACTTTTAATGGCGTTGGCAGGCTGAAGACTCCATTGCAATAAAATAAATATATGTATATTTGACACAAGCAGCCTTGAAGAATACTATGAAATTGATTCTTTTTTCACAGATCACACAAATCAATATCAGATGCACAAAGATTCAAATGATATTGAATGTGCTGTCTTTCTAACACAGCTTTATAAGGCATGTCAATTGTTTAGCTTAAGTGATAAACTGTGTGGATAAAGAAATTGGCTTATTCTGAGTCTCATAAAACCTTACCTCACACGGGGTGTCAAATATTTGTCTGTATATAGAGTTTAATGTTTGTTGAAACTGAATGTGAAAAGCCAAGTTAATGTAGAAAATAAATAAATACACTGACCTACAAATAGATCTGTGTTACATTTAGATAGATCACAGTGAACAAGATGCACCAGCAGAGTAAACTTTGAGGTAGCCTGTGACAAAAACACTCAGTTCTAAGTGCACCCCAAACAGCAGGTATTTCATTTTTGAAAGACTATAGGATCTCATTTTAATGTATTTTCTAACCCATGTTTTCCTACAGTGTGATCCAAAGTGGGCAGGCAACAAAGGGAAAACTACTGCTGCCTTATTTAATTATCCCTTATTATGTTATTTGTCAGATAAGGGCCATCATGCATAAAGGCAGGAGACAGTACGTGCTCTTCAATAGATAGACAGATTTATTTTATAAGCTACCATTGAATTTATTCATGTGTAGTAAAAGATGCATTGCATCTCCAGGAAGTAAAAATAAAGGAAATTTGATTTAGAAATGTTGAGAAACACTGGACACATTTACATTAGTATTATAAATATTCCTCCATTAGGTAAGAGGCCTGCAGATGACAGTTTTCCATCCAGTTTTCCATCCTTCAGACAGTTGAACTTTTTGAATCCTGACACTAATATGTACTGCACAACCTGCATCACCTAAATATTTGTGGCTACTTAGCTGCATTTCTGTACCGTTATGAACACATCTGTACAAGGTTTATCAAGGGATATATAATAAACACAAGTTCCAAAAGTACTAAAGAGAGCGCTGAGTCTATGGTCTCATGTTTTTGGTTTGCCTGCCATAGAGAAAAACTGACATTACTGTCTGTAGACTCAGTATTCTTTGTGAAAATCTTAATTATGACTCTCCTGTATAATTTTTCAGTACTGGCAGAAGTTATGTCATTACTTTTTTTACATTTTCTCTTTATATGTAAATTCAGCACACAGCTGTCACTATAACTTTCAACTATAACTTAATTGTCTCTTTGGGGGAAATGACTTGCAGCCTGGTGAGACACAGAAAAGACACAGACATTACCAGAAACAAAGATTTGTAAAATATTTAACAGAATATGAAAGATGTATGTTTAGTCCAATTTTGAAGTAATTGTACTTGAGCTTTTTCGATTTACTGTATGTTACTTCATTTTTCTACTCCATATTGTGTTTTTCACTCCACACATATATAGTTCCTACCTTGTAGACAAAAGACATGATCACTTTATGAAATATGATGCACAGTTTTAACTACACCAAAATTCCTGTCGTTCTGCTGCATAATGAGCACTTTTACTTTTGATATAAGTATATTTTGTTGACACTGTACTTGAATGCAGACTTATTTTGAATTGCATTATTTATTTTATTTTACTAAAGTAGAAAAAAAATCACAACTGTATAAATATAATAATTATGGGGCAGATTTAATTAAATGTGACCAAAAGGTCTAGAGGAGCTCAGTCAGTATTTTCCTACTGAACTTGTCATTCTGATCCAAACGCTCGATAATCCTCTATAGAGGATCGATTTATCTGCGTGCAGCTCGTCATCCCTTACTTCCACCTGCACAACGTTCATACGTTTACCTGCTACACGCTACAACTCAGTAATAACACACCGTCTACAGCCATGGCAGATCCAAGAATACGGCAAATTAAGATTAAAACTGGCATCGTCAAGAGGTACGGTTGGGGTTTTTTTTTATTCCAGTCGCAGTTGTTTTAGCATGTTGGGGAAGCTACGTTAAAATAAGGGTAGCGAACTAATTAGCTTAGCCTAGCGGAACGGCGGCTCGGTCTGAAACCACGCCGCGCACGGGACACTGTTTGCTGGAGAGGTTTTAACCGCTCTCCGGTGCTTTGTCGTGGCCTGTGGTCAGGGATGCGATGGCTAAGCGGAGTTCTTTTGTTTGCAGTAGCTACACCTCATTGTTATTTGACGATGGTTAAATGATGTTTGTGGCGTGATAATGAAAGCTCATTCTACTCTAATAGATAGCGTTAAAATGAATAAATAACTTGTGAAACTGTAACTTGTAACGTAAGCTAACATTGGTCGACTCATGATAGCTAGTTGGATAGCTAGTTAGCTAGCTAGCTAAGACATTGCAAAGAACAAATTGCATTGTTGGCTCGTTGGTGAGGAAACGCCTGCTGCATTGTTGCTCAAACTGTCATTTATGCCAATGTTGGAAGTCACTCGTAACCAAGTTTGTATACATTACATTGTTATGATATTTGCTTACGTGGTTGTAAACACAAAACAAAGCATCACTAGCTACAGAGATGCTCACACTAAAAAACTGGCCTGTCTTGGCTAAAGTTAGATAAACACTGCTGTTTTTAACACAGCTCTATGTAGTTGTTTTTTGTTTTTATCTATATATAGCAAGTCTTTTCCACACCCAGTCTGAACTGATGGTGGACATTTGTGATGATGTAGGGAATATCTGCACAGTCATGACGCAACATCAAGGGCATCCTCATTTTGTTTTGTTAAATCAGGTCATCACATGGTAGTGAGGCCCACAATGTTACAGCCTGTCACTAAGGACAGTACGATGCCAAAGTGAGGTTGGTTTTAAAATAATCTCATGAATAGTTTTTATTTATTAGTTAACTCCATGCAAAGTGCAGTGAACAGAAACCCTGCTGCGACCCCTCCTTTTCCACTCAAACAGCACCAGTTCTCCTCAGTACACCTCCACACACTTTTTCAAGGTACTTGGCAGGTAGGGTGATTCAAGGACCTTGGGTAAAATAATTCATTGTGTTTATTATTGAGGTCATAGATATTAGTGGTGTGCTTTATATTGAAATGTGTCCATAATATTCTTGTCATGTAAAAAAAAAAACTTCTGAGGTCTGCTGTGAAGGAAACATGTAAGTACTATCTGCAGGTTTGTTATATTGTGTTAAAATTATATTATCCTCCCATTTGTACTCTCCTGGAAACAGGCAAGTTATGCAGTCATAGTGTTTGTTTCAGTATGTGCAGATTAAGTTGGCACATCTCACGTAGTTGGGTGATATTAAAGGACTACAGTGATGTGTGGGAATTTTAGCCAACAACTTACACCAACAAAGAAAATTGTTACACCTGAATGAGGCAATGTCAGTACTACAGTAGTCCTGCAGTAAATACTATAGGGCCCTTTAATTTTGTTATGTTTTTAAAGGAAAAAAAAATCCCCTCATCAATCTACACCCACAACAACAATCTACAACATAACAACATCTGAATACTTTCAGACTTCACTAGAGTATCGGCAGACGGAGGCTGAATCAATGGAATTCATAACACTTGAGATAAATATGAGAGAGACGTCAGTGTTTGACTTTATTGACTTTATTGTACATCAGGGTTGAAATTATAATTGGCAGTACTTGTGCAAGTCTCATGTCATTTAGCAATAGCTATTAATACCGCAGTCCTTAATGCTAAACCCAAATTTAGCATTTAGAAATGTTTCTTTTTTAAATCAGTTCTTTCAAATTGTGTTTTCAGCAGCTAAAATACTCACTCAGAATTAAACACGTGAAGAGATGTCCTGATCAAATTCTTCCCATAATTCTGTTCTGAGGCATTTAATATTGATTATCTGTTCAATAGCTTTGCCTGCAAAGTTTAATGTTAAGTGTAAATCTGCTTTTTCTCTCTCCTAGCACAAAAATTATCTATTCTATTTTCCATCCAGTTCTCAACCTCAGCCTAGTTCACTTTTCTACCCAAAGCTTGTCACCAATATTTCACTTTAATCAGTGTCTTGACTGGGTCTTTGTTAAGGTGCTGTATACACAAGTGCTCCTGCTATGTGTACCCACAAGATTATGATGACATTATTATTGTTACTATTTTCATATTTCATTCATTGTTTTGAGCCTGAATGACAAATTTTCTTGTTCCAGCTGCTCAATATGTGTATTACTTTTGATTTCCTCATTCCTCTATGATAATAAATTGATAAATGGGCTTTTGGTTGGACAAAACGAGCGATCGGAGGACGTCACCTCAGGCTTTGAGAATTTCTTTTGGTGATTTTGCTAAGTTGTCTCTTGCCACAAGTCCAGTTCAGTTTTATGTCCAGTTTCCTTCACTTTTCTAGCAGGTGATGGATGTCGCTGGTGAATTTACCTCCTGAATTATTGTCGATAATTGTCGAAACGATAGATAGATGATCCAAACCTCCAAAATAAAAAAAAAAGTAAAAAATTAGTTTTGTTGGTACATTACATCTAGATAGATTTGATGTGCTAGAAAACAGGCCTTGTGATGAAGGACCTTTTGAGCTCATCATCCAGTTGAAGCCAGCCTATTAACAGCGCTGGCATCCATTGAATTTGCACCATGGCCAGATTTACCATGCTGGAGTATAAAATATTTTGGGTATTATGAGGTGTGGTGAGGTGATGGGCTGTGTGGTGGTCTGAGCGTATCTTTCGTCGATCACACAGACCTCTAATTCCCTCCTGTCGATGGCGTTTGTGTAATGTGTTATTGATTTGTGTTTTGATAAGGGTCAGATTACTAACAGGCTCCCCCCCGACGTGGTGATGATGGAGGCTGGGTTTCCCATAGAGGCGAATTCCACATGTTGTCCAGTGAAGGAAAAAACAACAGTGCAGTAGTAGCAGTAGTGTACTTCATCAGCCAGTACTGTCTCCAGTCACTGTACTGATGTTTTTGAGTGTAGTATTTGAACATAGGGCAAGAGATATTACATCTCACCCCCTCTAGACCAAAAGTAGCCACTGCCATAACACGGACCCTTAATCAAGCTGTTAGGTTTAAACGTACAGACTGTCATTGGTTTCTGTCTCTTCATAATCTTGTGTTCCTCCCATTCAGTCTCTTTCTCCTGTGTCTCTCTCCTCTCTCCTTCCTCAGTCCCTCCTCCCTTTTATATATTGGAGTTTAGAGGAAACCTGCCTGCTCTTTTAGCCAGGCCTATTTCCAGTGGCTTTTGCACATTCCAGTCAGTGCCTTTCTGCCCTAGCGAGGCGGATGCCCTTAATAAAATGACAACAGTAATTTGCCTTTGTCATTCCGGTCCCAGCACAGACTACATCGTGGCTCAAAAATACAGTGCTAGAGGAGGCGGCCCGAATGTGTGTGTGTCGGCTGACTCTAATTCCCTTTTTTTCTATTTTCCAGAGAGCTGCCTTTTCCATTAAGCCGGAGGTGGCAGGTCTATTTAAAACCAGCCACGACCCCACCCCTCATTCACACAGCGCTCCAAGTCTGGGAGAAATAAGAAATTAACATCAGGACTGGAAGGGGAGGAATGGACATTTTGTTATTAGACTGTCCTTCAGTTTTATTCAAATTATTCCAGCCTTCCTTCCTCAATCTCCCCCCCCTCCTCTTTGCCACCTTCTTTTCCTCTAAACAGGTGACATCACTCATTCTGCATCAAGCACGAGAGTGGAAGGCAGGAGCCGCTATTGCATATGGTGCCTGTTTAAAAGCTTCTTGATAGAACTGTATTAGAATGAGTGGTAATTGATGTAAAATATGACAGAGTGCCGTTGGCTTCCTTGGCTAAGCAAGGAGCAGTGCAACACGGAGGGAAGGGTCTCCAGTAATGTGACTGATTAATGAAGGATCACTCACTTATGCACACACAGCTGATTTTATGAAAAATGAAATTTGTGTTGTCATTCCGACAAGCAGGCACAGCCGGAAAAAGACTATTAGTTGGGAATCATTATCAATAGCGATATTTTCAAACTCCATTATGCCAATCAGGGTCGGAATCTGTTTAATAGATTTTGTTCCATTTGGCCCGTAATTGATAAATAATCAAAATTTATCAATGTACTCAAGCCCATTTTCACTAACAATCAAGGAAAAGAGGCCCATTTACCACCTGACTTGGTCCAAATTAGGGACTAAATTGATGATCAATTAATCTCTAAAAAGGAGTAGTAGTGTGTGGGTGTGTGTGTGTGGGTGTGTGTTGGAAATGATAGAGGTGGATGGAGGAGCATGGTGATAAGGGTTGAACTGTAAAGCCTGGTAAAGTTAACAGCAGCAGGTTCAGTGTTTGTCTGGCTGCTGCGTGTCATTGAAGCCACAATGTAAATTTAGGCTGGAGCCTATGGGAAAAGTATATCGTTAATAAATAAAACATTAATTCAGAATTTATTTTTGTTTCGCAGTACAGATGATCAAGAAAAATGTTGTTTGTTAAATGACATTGATCGAACTCGTGCAGTCAAACAGTATTGTGGAAGTTGTCTCGTTGTGAATTGTGTCACCTCAGAGACTGAGCTTAGATATTTTGGAAGACAAACAACTTTAATTTCATCAATAAGAGACAGAGATATATAAATATATATATATATGTAAATGCACTGAATATTTCCACATGGCTGGCAGCTGTTTTCAAAGAAACGGCTGTAAAAATAAAAAACAGCAGACACTCAGTTAGAGAGCAGCTGGTGAACATAGTGGAGCATTTAGCAGCTGAAGATCCAGATATTTCCCTCAGGAGCTGGTGGAGACCAAAAGCAGAGCTGAAAGAAAGAGAAGGGAACACTGGGTTTGGATGTCCAAATAAGCAACTGTTTGCTCACAAGTTTGTCATACTACTAATATGTTAATGCTGTGCTCACAACTTGTTTCTGCTGCCCCCACGGAGACCAGAGAATCAGTTATTACACGTGTAAAGAAATAGTGTGAAAGCAGACGGCACAATAGTTTATATTTAGAAGATATCACAGATGCTTTGGAAGAGACCGTAGTTTATAATCATTGAGCATTGATCATTGTGTCTATCAGAGGAGCTTTTAAACAGCTGCGTTTGAATAATATCTGAATGGAGTAGTGAGAGTTTGTTCATCCTGAAGGCAAAAATACATCCGGTCCTGAGTTGGCTTTTTTTAGATCATGATACAAATAAGATTTCGTCTCCACTTGGAAACCAGTATTCTGTGAGGCCCTGCGGCAGTGAGGAGGAATGATGTGTTCGCTGCTTGTTATTGAGGTGTGTATCTTGCCATCCTGCGGGAGATGATCTCACTGTGTCCCCTCAGTCAGGGAGAACGTTGGGAGGGAATGAGGATAGATGGCCTCGTCTGTAAAAGGTGACCATCACAGCCACCCCACCCCACCCCCACCCCCCTCTCCCCTTTTCATGGTTCAGCCTATATTATGTGTCTTGAGAGGCTGCGCATTTATGTTTCATGTCTGATGGAACGACAACTGTGCCGCTACCTTTTTAACTATGAACTCTCTCCCTGTTCTCTCGCAGGCTGGCCAAAGAGGAGGTCGCGTACATAACCGAGGCGAAGCAGCAGGAGCAGAAGATCGAGCGCATGAAGGCGGAGGCGGGAGATGATTATGTCATCAAGAAACAGGCACGTGGCTCCCATGTTTGAGATGCTCCACAACAATTAACGGGTTTTAATTTGAAAACTTTAGCATTATCCATTTATCACCAACTGTTACTATCCTCTGCTGAGTGAAGGAGGTTTTCTGCTTCTCCCGTAGTTGGGAAGCGAATTGTATCTTGATGACTTGAGTAGCCCCTCATTCATGTAATGAGGTCAGTCCACAGTGATAATGAAGAATTAGGTTTTGAGAGGAGAATCATTAGTGATTTTGTAATGTGCTTGATGCAGATGTAATTATATCATGTTACTTTAGAGGAGTTTGATAATTACTGACACATGCTGGTTATTTAGTGTCCCCAACAGATCACTGGCCCATATCCTGCTCTCCCATTCTCTCTCACTGTGCCTGCAGCCCTCCATCATCTGCCTGCGCGCTGGAGAACAAGCTGCGTTTACTGCGAAAATCTGTACGACAGAGATGTTGTTAGCTCGCCTGACGTCTGTGTATTTGTGTGTGGAGACTTCTTTGCTTCTTTTTAAACTAGTTTTTTTTTTTAAACAACATTTTAAATTTAACAGAGAAATTGAAATGTAGAATGATAACATGAAGACTAAAGATAGGGTCATCAATTAACACAGACAGATACACCGGTTCAGTTCATTACACAGGGATTTGAGCCAAAAAAAAAAAAAAAAAAAGGTGAAATGAAGAAGAATGTTAAATAAAAGGCATTAATCAGTGTCTGTTTCCTCAGAATAACAATCTCATTTCACACAGTATTTTTAGCCGCGCTCGCCGTGTGGCTGTACGGATGGTAGCTTTGGTCCAGACTGAAATGTCTCAACTATTAGATGGATTGTCATGAAATTTTGTACCGACATTCGTGAGAGAGGATGGATCCTAATGACTTTGTTGATCCCCCTCATTGCTTTTTTTCTGTGCTACCACCATGTTGACTCTTTGGCTACGTCCACACTACGTTTTAAAACGCATCTCTTTTGCTACGTGTCCGCCTCCCGTCCACACTTCTCCGGCGTTTTTGGTGCTCGAAAAACAGAGACTCTTATCTTCTTTTGTCTTTTCTAGTTTCAGACCAATGCAGTTGTCATTTTTCCATCCCGTGCACAAGTTGTTTAAATAGCAAATAGGAAAGGGATTGCGCAATTGACCAGCAAAAACCTGGTGTTAAGTGAGTGGCTCAGTGTTTCATGGTTATGTTAAGGACACATTGTCTAAAATACGATAGCAAATCTGACATGGACACGCCCTAAACGTACTTGCGCCATGTGCTTTGGATCGTTAAGATAGAGACATTATATAACTATGGGATTGATTGCCATGAAATTTGCTGCCGATACAGATGTTCCCCTGATGTTAGTGATCTCTTAACTTTTCATGTGGTGCCATAATCAGGTGAAAATCTCTGTTTGTCCACTACTTTGGTTCATGACTAAAGTAAAGCTTCATCGAGGCGCTAGCATAGACTCGTGTCTTTCTCTAGCTGAAGGCTGTGAGTTACAGTCGGCCATGTCTATGGAAAGCAAAATGTTTTTTTCACTTGCAGCCATGAAGATCTTCTGGAGGCAGATTTCACATGTGCACAAACATTTTAGAGCCGTCTCCAAAGAGACAGAAACAAAACTTCATTACTGAAACCCAGTGACAGTAAAACTAAATACCCCTCTGTATCCCAGAAAAAGATGAGTTTATGGACAGTAACAAAATACGTGGGCATGGTCCTCCAGTACGGACACACACTTTCTCCAAATTAACTGACTACTGGGTCTCTGTTAATTTGGATCTCACTCCTACATGTTTCAGGCAGGAGCTGCTGCTCAGTCACCACATCTGATTATGTCTACTGGTATAACATTAAAATTCAGCGTGTGTTTTGTTTTGTTTGTTCATTCATGGAGCGGCGGCTCAGGTCTGAGCAGCAGGCTTGGCTGGTGTTAAATGGGGAGATTGGGAGGCCAGATGGATTATGGTTGGAGATGAGAGGTCTGAGGCAGGATGGATTAGAGGTTTTTGTTTTAATGGAATCAATACGCTGTAAGTGTCATCCTTATCCAGCGCTGATGGGATCATTCCACTGCACTGGGAGGGCACCATGACTTTTCTCTGTTTTCAGCACTCCTCCGCTTAGTCTGGCTCACCTTGTCACATCTACATGGCAACCAAGTCGACTAGTTGTCTCCCGTCTCTCAGCGTGTCAGTTAGTCTGCCAGCCCGCATGTGCATGAGTTCATCTGAGCGCCTGTTAGTGCGCACAGCCGTGTAATGTACATGTGCGAGTCGGTGTTTTGACTTTCCAGCTCGACAGAGGGGCTAGGTGAGGAAGCATCTGTCATGAGTGAGTGTGTCTGACAGTGTTAGCCAACTCTTCTCTGCTCTTTAGGGTGCCAGCCGGGGGAATTCCACATTAGCCGCGGCTGTGAAAGTTCCCCCAGGCTATAACACAGTTTCACTCCAGGCGTAGTAATACCTGTTTACGCCTGATCACAGCGCCCTCGGCTCAGGGTTTTCTTCATTCATTCAGGTGTGCAGTCAGATCGAGGTGGTCCCCTGCTGCCCAACTCCCTGCCCGATCGATAACTCAATAACATTTTTCATAGCGCCGGCTTGTTGGGGAGATGTTAACCACAGCGGAGTGTGTGTGGGACACCCTGCACGTTATTGTCAGGAACAAGGCTTCAGCGAATGAATATTCCTGCGTCTGGCTGTTCAAATTAATGCTCTGAACTTGGAAGAAATACATGTTCAATAATGTGTTGATTTTTGTGAAGGCGGGTAATGAAAAGTGATAACGGCAGCAGTGGCGAGGGTATTCTTTTTAATAAAGATGGTGATGGCGCTGATGTGGTCTCCGTGTGGTTTCAGATGGAGGTGTTGCAGGAGTCCAGAATGATGATCCCAGACTGCCACCGCCGCCTGACCGTCGCACACGGAGATCTGCTCCAGTTACTAGTAAGTAACAGTCTGAGGCACCATTAAGTGGAAGTGTAAAAAAATATTTTTCATCTCGCAACAGGACAAAACCGTATTGATGAAACTCTCGACCCATTTATTTTGTTGCTGTCACTGTTACTAATTTGTGGCCGTGTTGAAAAGCTGCATGGTGTAATTGTATTACAGACACATGGAGACAAAAACAACTCTTTTCATAAATTTACACTGAACTTCAGCTTGTGTCGCACAAAAAAAATACAACTATCTTTTTAGTCCCTCCTTCTTCTTGTACAGGAGGAAAGACGTAGTTCCAGCTCTTCGGTACTTTTCTGAAACTGATCTGGAACCTACATCGATCAGCCATAACGTTAAAACAGGTGACTGGTTTTAACGTTGTGACTGATCTGAGTCAAGCCATGAAGCCGTGGAAAATAATTCAAACTGCAATTTAAGTTTTAAAACAAATTCCTAAAGCTTCAGAATGAGCTCTTAAAACAGGCCACGGATACACACCAATCAGCCGCAACAATAAAAGCTGTTACGTGTTGTAATGTTGTGGCTGAAAAATATACAGACAACTAACTGCTTGTGCTTTGGTTTTGGAGATTTCAGAAATTAAATAAAAGTAATTTTTTTTCTTTTTTCTAAATAAAGATGTATTGACAGTTGTCAGATTGCTTTTTAGCGATGTCACGGCGGCTAACATCTTCGCGAAGACTTGTAAGTTTTATAGATCCACAAGAAAAAGAGCAACATTTATTAATGTGACAGAGAGTTCCTAGATGTGTTCATGAGATGTGGGTTTTCCCCTGTCTGTGTTGATGGGAGCACTGAGACTGAACCATAGATTACATGCGGCATAAAGCGTTTAGTGAACTTGTGTTTGGATTTCAATGTAACATCCGATTCAGATATCGTTGCTACCTTCATTGCTAGCTTTTAACGAGTTCAGTGTTATCAACAAAGCACAACACATGCAGACATTTTCCTGTGCGTCTTATTTATTGATCAGTTCTGAACGCTTATGAAAACATGTACTTCTTGTCAAGTTGTGTTGGTGGACAAACAAAATAAAAACACCATTTACTGCAAGATGTTTCACCTCTAAAGCTTCAACACTATTCACACCAGTCGGTACCAAAAACCTAATGAGTCAGTTCATTTCTATCAGTGTCTTTCCATAGAGATGGTTTCTATTTTTATTTGGTAGATATTTGAAATATCTGACACCTTAAATATTTTGGAGCTGAATGGGATTTGTGAAATGGTCTTTTGGAAAAACATTACAGCAACATGTCTTTGTCGAAACAATGTCCCAGGTCCTTGTTGGGACAGAGTTCAGCAGCATTTTGAATCTCTTTTCGAGCCTTTTTAAGTTAAGTTTTTTGTTTTACGAAGAATAAAAACGTCTTAGTTTAGAAAATGTTGCGTTTTTGTTGTGTTTTTTTGTCTAGCAGAAGGTGTGACCTGATATCTAAGAATCCACCTTATTCTAATCAAGTTAATCACACAATTAAACACAATCACCGTCAGACTCTGACACGGACACTAGTGTAAACTGCACTAACTGACCATCAAAAACCTAAATCATGGTCGTTCTGCTGAGCTGAAGGGTTGCAGGACTTGTGACTTACATGAACTCTGACCTCAATGGAGGGGGCGGGGCTCTGCAGCAGAGCATGCAGAAGCTAAAGTAAAAACACGAAAATAAAATAAAATAATGCTGATTTTGCGTGCACGCTGCTGCTGTCACAGAATCGGCGTAACACCGGCGTTCGGCTGCGGCGGCGCACCCGTCCTCCTCCCTTGTATTTTAGAAGTTGTTCAGTCGACTTGGAACATTTAACCCGGTCAGCCATGTTTGTCTGCTCATGTGAGAGCTGGACGGGTGTAGGCAGAGGGAGCTAACCTGCCATTTCCTTCCTTTAGACAGATATGCGCATGTGCACTCGCTCATCACAGTTCATTAGCAGCGCTGTCGCTGCGGTGACCACCACAGGAACTCGCACACACTTAATTAAAGCACACGGACACCGTACAGTCACATTATCACCTGCTCCAGCCCTTTACTGCTAAATTTAGATCCTGATAACATGATACCGACTGACTGAAGTTTTATGAAGACAACGAAGTGAAACAGGTTTGTTGAAAAATATATATATATATATATATTTTTTTTACACAAAAAGGTTGAAGATTTGTGGATTTATCAGCTGTAATTCCTCATTCTGCGAAGAAGGAGACAGCTGTATTTTTCTAAAATGGCAATAAAACTAAACGGCGTGTGTGTGTTTGTGTCTCTCCAGGAAACAGAAGAGGATTTGGCCGAGTCAGAGGAGTACAAAGAGGCTAAGAACGTATTGGACTCAGTGAAGCTTGAAGGATGATTTCTGATCTGTTTCTGTTCTCACTGTGAGATTCACTTGCTTAAATGTCCATTCCTTTCATCAGGCCTGGGGGTTTGGGGAACCATGGAGGGAAACTGAATCCATTCAAAGTCTCTGTTCTTGATGTAATTATTTCTACTGTTTACTGTTAATGTGCCACCACACTTGGTCATCACTTGCCCCCCCCCCGTGTTTGAAATCCCACAAGAATACGATAAAACTTTGACTTTATTACAGTAGAGGAGTGGAGGGTTTTTCTTTTTTTGTTTTAAATGTTATTTGTCATATTAATACACAACCTGGACTGAATAGACACGATTAAACACACACACACACACACACACACACGTTTGTCTTTTATCTTTTCTGCTACAATAACCATCGGTTTGAATGGTGTGGGTCCACTCTGAACACTGTTAACACTGTAAACACTGTAAACACAACACAACTGCACATCACTGCAGAAGCTCCAGTGTTTTATGAAGTGACACTTTTCCTTAATATTTTTTTTTGAGTGAACTTTGCCTTTATTTTACATGTATCTTATGCTTGCAGGACTACAATTGGCTCTAACCCTCGAAGAAGAAGAAGATGATGATGATGATGATGATGATGATGATTTATCCCACAATACTAACAAAAGCAGCAAGTAACAATTCTGTCAGTGATTCTTTTGATTAATCGATTAAACGTCTGAAAATATTTTAAAAAATATCCAACACAAGTTTCTAAAAATCAAAAAAAAAACAAAAAAAATAAGCTAATTATCATATTTGCTGAATTTGAGACATTTTTGCTTCATTTCTCTCGACTAATCGATTAATCTAATGATTTGAAACACTGCTGGATTTACCTGCCTTGTGTGTTCACGTGCTGGTCTTCCTGTTAACAGCACTGAAATGACTTGTGTTTGAGACCTACAATAAAGAGTAGAGCACTTCTGGCAGCCCTGTCAGTCAAATGACAAATGTTGGTTGTGGCCATGAATGACAGAACAGGCCTCCATCTATTATCCCAGCGGCCTAAAATAACGACACCTTGCATTAAGGCTGAGGGAGTCCTTCCTAAATAGTCATACTAATAAATGAACCCAATTGCCAGACAAATTAAGGTTACATTTGACTTGATCCTTATTTTACAGATTTCGATAATTATCGGGATCACCCCAAAGTCTCATTACCGCCCTAATGAGGCGCTGCTACTGCGTGACATCCACCCCGCTCCATCTCGTTAAGGAAATCGCTCTTCAATGCTGATTATTTTATTTGGAGGTATAATTATATTTCTTTCGGATAAATCACGGCCTAATCGAGTCCGTGCAGAGGGCAGTGGCGCTAATTGAGGCATGAGATGCGGCGGCGGGGCGCTACACCTGGGTTTATGTGACCAGAGGACCCGCGCATGGCTGCGGGCCGCTCTGTCAACACGCCGGATGACAAGTGTCCACATCCTGTACTGGAGTGACACAGCCGTGTAAAGACACTCTGTCACAAGCTCAGCATGTTGCTCAAGTGTTATCAGTGAAATGTAGAAGTAAAAGTCCTCATTAGGCAGCACAACGCTCCCGGTTTAACACATAGGCTCACAGTGCACTAACGTGAAAGCAGGATTTTAATTTTAACTCCTGATATGTTTTGTGTGTTAAATCTTAATCTGGAAAAGCCTCTAGTAGCCAAACTGTAGCTGCTTTCAAAAGGCTTATACAATAATGTCATTCTGAAATGTGGAATTGAAATATAAAATACACAGAAATGGAAATATTCAACACAAATATCTCAAAATAAAACTAAATTTAAACAGTACTGGAGTAATGAAGTTACTTCCCGCCCTGTAGCTACATCAGTCATGACTTGATATTCCCGTGGAGCAGTTGCTCAGTAACTCTGCATTTCATTTCTTTTGAATATTTCTAACCTCTCTCCTTCCAGGTTCACCAGACTTATCTGCTGTAAGTGAGCAGGGAAACCCAACTACAGTCCTCCTGAAAACAACTTAGTCTAATAATGAGAGGATGTGGCACAAAAAGGTGTTTTATTCAGCTGTGGAATGTAACTAATTTACTCAAATACTCAAATACTGCACTTCAGTAAAGTCCAATATGTCTTATTAGTACTTCTTCCTCACTAAAATTCACAAGGAAATAAACTTATTGTGTTGTATTGTTAATTTGTAGATAATTTATCAGCACGTAAAACAAAGTACTGCCAATGGAACTAGGCTATGCAACATGGGTAAGATTACTCTGCAGCATCCAGCTTCAACATTAAACAGCTGCTTTATTGTTAATGCATAATCCAATAGTACGATGCATATTTAATGTAACACAGACAGAGGCCATTTTCACTCAGCAGTAAGTAATTTGACTTTTAGTGCATTTTGCTCATAATAAGCTGCTTAATTTGATTTTACTTGGGTAGATTTTTAACTATATGCCACATGTGAGTTTTCATGTTTATTGATATTGAAATATTTGACCACATCAGTCCAGATGTTGACGCCAACAAGTCGCCTCCTCAGTGGGAGCCTGGAGGCAGCGACAGGGAGGAAGCAGCGCAAATTTTTTTTATTTTCTTTGCCGCTAAACTTTGTGTTTGACGCAGAGCAGACCGCTGTGGCTGCAGCTGCTTCAGCCTCAGCCTCAGCCTCAGCCTCAGCCTCAGGCTCAGCCTCAGCCGCTCCTCCTCTCTTCCTCTCCTCTCCTCCTCCTCCTCCTCCTCCTTCTCCTACACAGTAACTTATTATTGCTCCTAATCCCCCAGACTGTCACCAGATCAGCTGCATGAAACAAGAATCTCATTTGTTAAACCTGAGGCTCGTGCAGATGGAAGATCGATTGTTTTTCTCCTCAGAAATCTCTAATTGAGTGAAAACGAAGAGGAAAGGAACGACACAAAAACCACCGGGGCCCGGTGGTGTGGAGAACCTGCAATGTAACCAGGAGGTCACAGGTTCGAGCCCCGCGCCAGCCTCCCAACTGTGGCTCCACTGTGCAGCATCAGTCACACACACACATGGACCTGCAGGTAAAACGCAGCGGCCTCAGACACTGACGCTCCAGTAGCAGCAACACCATTTACAGTACTTTAACATTTTTGTTGTATTTTATTTATTTATTTATTTATTCTTGCAGTTTTTATTAAAAGTCACTCCTCATCTCCACCGCCGCGTGAAAATGTCTACTTTCCACTCAGATGCGCCGCATTAACTTTCAAGAGGCGAATTTGTTTGTCTAGTTTTATTTATATGATGCAGAAGATTGATGCGAGCACGAGGAGAGATGTAGCAACCTGTGCTGTGGTCCCTGTTCACCCTAATTACAGCCTTATCAACTCAGCAATACCAAGACCCTTCTGCACACTCACACACACACACACACACACACACACACACACACACACACACACACACACACACACAGAGTAACACACTGAAGCTATTGACACTATTAAGTGAAAAGATGCCTTTGAATTAGTGGAACTAAATGCATTACATGTAATAGGAATACCAACTTCCTGGGAGGGTCATTTATCAAACAGCAAATTGGTTCATATTAAAAAAAAAACCTAACAATAATAATAATAATAATAATAATAATGATAATGATAATAATAGCGGTAATAATAATAACATACAGTGTGTGTACAATGCATTTTTGTTTAATTCTACCTAATAAAGCATGAAATCTTGCAAGATTCAATTCAAGAAACAAGTTAAATTGTATTACAGGCAGCCAGTGCACACAAATAAATACAAATAAATACAAATAAAAAACACTTATCCACCTTAAAAAAACTACTTTTTTTCTGCTATAGGACAAAATCTTTCAAATATCACAGAAGTCAATATTAGTTTTTGGTGTTTTATCCCTCTTTCTTTTTCTTTTTTTTTTTTTTAGCACAAATATCTCATGCTCCCTGACATCCCATGATCCCCTCTCTGTCGCTGTTGGGGTTAAATATGAGCTGCTGCTGCGAGAGGAGTCATTCACTTTTCTTTTTTTTCTTTTTTTTGTTTGTACAGCCATAAAAGCGCGGAGCCGTCGCAAAGTCGTAAAATGAAAGCGCGCAATCCATCATCCCGCAATGTGCTGATTTTTAAATGATCCGCACAAGCTGTGGGCGCGCCGGGAAAAAAAAAAGAAGCTGCATGACATATGGAAACCCGGGGAGGGGGGGGGGGGGGTGTACTTTGGATAATATAGCATAATTAATAAGTGGAATAATCACAGACCATAAATAGTCACAGATCTAGTTGTAATTCTGGAATAATAAACAAATGAACGCACGCTGCTGTATCCCAACAATACTAAATATTCTGAATCAACCACGTTTAGTTCCGGTTTGAAGTCTACCTCAATTTCACCTTCTAAAAAAAATCAACAACAACAAAAAAAAACAAAACAAAAACAAACAGGAGAGGACAAGAATTATCTCCAATTGCGCATCTCCTTCTTCTCCTTTCCCTCCTCGTTGAAGAAAGACGCAGATCAGATCAGAGCAAAGAAGAAACCTCCTCCTCATCCCGGTGCGTCCGCGACTCCGCTCCATCCATCCATCCATCCACTCATCCCTCCATCCCTCCATCCCTACATCCATCCCTCCCAGTCTGTCGGTCGTGCCACCAGATTGCAGACAAATAAAAGACGAGCAGGGGCGATTGAAGCCTGGATGGATGAAGAAAAGAGCCTGAACGAGCCCCGGGTTTACGCTCGGACGCCTCCTTTGTGCCACTTTTCTTTTTCTTTTTTTTTCCAGCAACATAATAAATAAACCTGCGCTCCCTGAACGTCCCGGCATCTGTTAAGCATGTCTGATTTTTTATTTTTTTTGTCCTTAAATATTTGGCAGCCTGGCGTGTGTGTGTGTGTGTGTGTGTCTTGTCTATTTCCTTTTATTTATTTATTTTTTACGCGTTTTCTTGTCTCTTGAAAACAAATAACCTTCATTTAGACCGATACGTGTAAAAAAAAAAAAAAAAAAATCGGGGGCGAATCCCTCCTCCGCGTGCTCCACACATGATCATGTGTTTACCCGTGTATCTGCTCAGGTGTCAGCGCTTCCCTCTATATTAACCGTGTGTCCCTTTTATCAGAGCCAGGCGATCACAGCTCAGAGTAAAACTCCCTCCACTTTCCGCCGAATTAATCTGCTCACACATCATTTACACCAAGACCCTCCCC